CAAAAATACAAATGTAAGAATTATTATTATTATTATTATATTATTCTGAGGCATTTTTTTCAAATCAAAAATAAAAAAAGGGTGTTTGAGACACCCTGTTGGTTTAGTTTTCTTAACATCAGAGGTCAAGCAGCAATATACTCTCGGTGGGTTGCCATCCCCATCTACATCTACAATCTCCGAGAGGTGGCGATCGAAATCTGACACTGACAAAACTTGGTCCTAAGTAACTGGATTTGAACTCGGTTCTCCAGCTCACTAGACCAGCGCATATCTCTCTGCGCCACGATCGCCACACTCTCGATCGGTGCTCTTTGAAATAAGTAGTTGCCTATGGTTATGTAGGAGTGTGTAGGAGATAAATTTGAGGTTATCTACGAATCACGTTTACGAAGATTGTGGAAGATTGCGAATGGTTGCGAACGTGGTTGCGAGTGAATCGTCGATTGAAAAACAAGGAGTATCATGTTTGACATATGGCTTGATTTATTGTGCGACGCTTCGAGTAAAGAAAACATGAACTCGACAATGTTCCTAAAGATATAATCGTGCAATAAATATAAAGGTAAATTTCTGATTCTATTATGACTCTTGGATGTTTTCGAACCAAGTATCATCATGGTTTAACCTATACGAGTTTTCCTTTTCTTCTACAATATATACAATATATTGTTTATTTCTCACTTTCTCAGTAATACGTTTGTACGTTAAATTTCTTTCCATAATATAAAATTTACATAATATAAAATTTTGATGAAGAAGCATATTTACATTAAGTTTAATTTATAAAACTCTTAACTGTGCATGACAATAAATGTCTCGTTTATAGAAAATATAACGTGTATTTTTTATATTTAAGATAAAAATATTCTTCAAGATGAAGTTAGTATCAAGATACATAGATAAAGATGGAGAAGGGTAAATATATATCTTGCGTATAAATATATTAATATAATCTTAAAACTGAACGTAATATTAGAATTAATGAATCTCTAGGCGAGTGTCTCTTGTTCCTGAAAATACCGAGGATATGTGGCACGCCTATAATCTCATTAGCGAAGGAGACTTTGTAAGCTGTTCTACTATCAGGTATGTTCAAATTTGTATAATAATGTTACATTTAATTTTAACCAATACTATTTTGTCAATTCTCTGTATTTAACTTAGGAAAGTGCAAACGGAATCTGCAACTGGTAGCTCTAACAGCTATAGAGTCAGAACTACTTTAACGATATGTGTAGAAAATATTGATTTTGATACGCAAGCATGTGTTTTACGACTTAAAGGTAGAAATGTGGAAGAAAATAAGTATGTTAAGGTAAGTTAAATGGGGCAATAATTAGATTTTAATTGCAGTTGATTTCTATTGATGTTTAAAAGAATGTCTCATATTAGTGCTAAGTGGTCATTACATATCATTGAAGTGCATACATTTTGTCAGGTTTTAGAGTGAATTTTTTTCAAGTACATGATGCTAAAATGGATTAAAACAGTCCATTTGTAATTGATTTTGTACATTTAATTTAAATAATTTTTTTTGTTCACATTTCTATTTACGTTATTATTTGCATTTTGTTGGTATTATAGTAGAGGAATTGACTCATATTTTAGACCATCTGAACAGTAAACGATCTCAATTATAGAATCTTGTGTCAAAGTTATTCTTCACATATATTTTTATGCACACTTAGCTCTAACAGTCATTATTTTAAATATTAAATTAGTAAAATGTTTGATTTGTAATTATATTTGTTTTTCATTTTACAGACAGGAGCATATCACACACTGGATGTTGAGCAAAATCGGAAATTCAGTATTACTAAAACTAAATGGGATTCTATCGCTTTGGAAAGAGTCGATACTGCATGCGACCCTGCACAGGTTAATAATTTTCGAAAAGAAAGATTTGTATATTTACTGTAACTTTCTTTTTTTATTTTGTTTTAGAATGCTGATGTAGCTGCTGCAATTATGCAAGAAGGCATAGCACAAATTTGTTTGATAACTTCCAACATGACAATAGTCCGTGCGAAAATTGATCAAGTTATACCAAGGAAGAGGAAAGGACATGTTTCACAACATGAAAAGGTTCGAGAAACATTACGCTAGTATTAAAACGTATAGAAACATTTTATGCTGACAAGTATAAAAAGAATTCTAACTGGACATACATACATATTTAGGGTTTGGCACGATTTTACGAGAGCATTATGCAAGGCATATTAAGGCACATCAATTTTGATCTGGTGAAATGCGTTATCCTTGCCAGTCCTGGTTTTGTGAAAGATCAGTTTATGGATTACATGATACAACAAGCTGTTAAATCTGATAATAAAGTAATCCTAGATAATAAAAGTAAATTTTTGCTAGTTCACACTAGTTCGGGTTTTAAACATTCATTAAAAGGTAGTGTATATGTATCTATAAAATCTCAAAACGAGCATAATGCTTGCAAAGTACAATTGTTTCTTATTGTACTTATATTTACTATGATCCATTGTTACGACAGAAGTTCTAGCTGATCCTGCTGTAGTCTCTCGAATTTCTGATACTAAAGCAGCAGGAGAAGTAAAGGCTCTAGAGGCATTTTATAATATTCTGCAGACGGATCCTGCTAGAGCATTTTATGGCAAGAAACATGTTGAAAAAGCTAGCGCTGCTCAAGCAGTGGAAACTCTACTTATATCAGATAAATTATTCAGGTGATTTTATTGCCCTCCTACTTGTCTCAATATTAATTTTACTTGACTCTACTTTATAATACATTTCTTGTATTTTTGTTTCCAACCATCGTGGTTCAGGTGTCAAGACGTAGCACTGAGAAAGGAATATGTTGAGCTGGTTGAAAGTGTGAAAGACTCAGGTGGCGATGTTAAAATATTTTCGAGTCTGCATGTCTCGGGTGAACGTAAGTTTTGTATGAATAATATCAATCTCAAAATATAAACAAAATATATTTATTGTATCCTAATGTACATAATTATGTATTAAAACAAAATTACGATTTTTTTTCAGAATTAGAGCAATTAACTGGGATAGCAGCTTCATTACGTTTTCCAATGCCGGAGCTGGAAGACGAAAGCGATGATGGTAGCGACTCGGAAGAAGATTAGAAGCACTATTAATATGCTAACAATTTTGTATATATTTGTGCTGTGCGCAATCAAAAATATCATATTAATAGTAAAAAGAAAAAATCTTTATATTTATTTATTAACCATACGAGAGGTTTGCATTTTCATTCATAGTTTAAATCATAGTACAATCTGAAAATGTTGCATCTAGAAATGTGTTATATTGCGATCGCTTGTGTATTATCACTATGTGAAGAAACAAGTGAACTTGAACATACGAAACTTTTACATACATCATAACTTAATATCTCATTAGTAGTATATTTTGCGTTGCTCAGAAAAATTCATGAATATGATTAAATTTACATTAATTTACATCAATAAAGAGGAAATTAATATACGGGGTGTCCCAAATTTTTCCGGACAAACTTTAGTAGATGGTCTATGAGCAGAAATAGGAATGTTACATAACATAAACGTAGCTTTCAAAATGCTTTGTTAGAAAGTTAGCAAAAATATGAAATACATAAATAAGGAACAATTTCAATTAAGTTTACATTTGATTGTACCGTCCGCCCACATCAATACAAGCTGTACATCGCTTTAATATTGAATTCGTCATCTCAAGAATTTCTTGCCGATTTTGCTTTATCTCTTCAGCTGCGTTGATAATTCTTTGCATTAATTCGTCTCTTGACTTGACTTTTGTTCGATAAACTTTTTTTTTCATTGTACTCCACAGATAGAAGTCTAACGGCGTAAGATCCTGTGATTTTGGAGGCCAAGATATCGGACTTTCTCGACCAATCCACCTTTTGGGATAATGTTCGTTTAACCACTGTTGTACTTGTTTTCCAGAATATGCTGAGAATCCATTTAGCTGTATCCACATGTGTTGGCGAGATAGTAAAGGTACATCTTCGAGAGCAATTGTTAAATCATTACTGAGAAAGTTTAAAAAAGAACGCGCAGTTAAATGTTCCGGCAAGAAATAGGGACCAATTAGCATGTCGTTGTATATGCCCATCCATACATTACAGCTGAAGTCACGTTGTGAACATTTTTCTAGCACAGCGCGTGGATCTTCGTATGGGCTTACCCATACATAGTTGCTTTGAACTTTGACAACATCATATCTCGTAAATATAGCCTTGTCAGTCCATAGTATCCTTGATGGAAAAAGGTCGTCTTTTTTTACTTGTTGCACGTACCATTCACAGAATTGTATTCGCCTTTCCTGATCTGTTGGCAGAAGTTTTTATATGTATCAGTGATGAAATGATAGGGATACCTGTTTACCAGCTCGCATTGTTCTCCAAACCTTACTTCGAAATTTCTGTAGCTGATATGACGTTGGCCAAATCCTTGAAGTAGGGCCATTATTTGTAGGAAGTCTTATTGTAGGAACAATAAGACTTTTTTTAGAACGAAGCATAGCTCCCACGCTGTTCTGCACACGGACGAAATGAACTGGTCAAGCGTAATTGCAAATAAACATACTGGTATAGACTGCACGTGTGATGTAGCATCCCTGTACATAATTGATAAATATACTTAATATATACTTACATACACACACACAGAAGTAAAATATAAGTATATTTAATATACAATAAGTACATATAAGTATATCTGAGAGCGGCGTTTTGCTTGATACAATTTACTTACGTTTTACTCGACTGCTTGATAGCTCGCACCCACTTTCAACTGTTTCAACAGTGGAACTATTTGGCGGGAGACCACATTGCGAATTGACTTCTTCTTCTTCTTCCTGATTGGCCACGTTCAGCAGAACATTTATTTTGCAACTGTTGGAAGTTTTCCAGTGGGACTCAATTGACCACGTTGACTAATTGGCTGATTTTTAAAATAAAAATATCTGATTGGCTAGTCCAGTGGAAAAATTCCGGGCACCGGGAACTGTGAGTGGCTGTGGAAGTCAATCGCAACGTGGTCAAACGGGACGCTCCTCGCTCTTGATGGAGGATTCACATTGCGTCCGATCACGTCCGATGTTCGACGTACGACGATCCGACATCCAATAACAGAATTTATTATTAGAGACAAAAATTTCCTATTGGATGTCGGATCGTCGTACGTCGAACATCGGACGCAGTGTGAATCCTCCATCAAAGTTTTCTGAGCTCCAGATTGGATTATTCCTCTAGATCTATAATTAAAGAATAATCTGGACGTCACTGGAAAAGCAGAGCTCTCATTGGATATCGCTCATCGCTTATCGCGTCTAGTGCGCGAGCGCCATAAGAAGATACTTCTCTATCGACTCCATCTTCTTTGTGCTCTCTGATACGGAGGTTCGAATTATTTGCACGTGTTGCGTGTTTACGCTTGTGTATTTTACATGTTGGCATGTAATTTTATTATATTTAAGTATTAAATATAAAGCACATCACAATGGTTGTAATAGGTAAAAAGAAGGTGAGTGGATTACTTTATTTGATATGATATTTACCTCATTTTGTCTAGACGAAGAGGTTATGTTAAAATTTATGTGGAAACTGGAGCGACATTCCTGTAGATTAAAATCGATATCTTTGAAATTTGCAGTATCAGAGTGGCGAGGGAGCGCAATTTATGACGAGGAGAGCTGCCCTCAGGAAACTACAATTGACGCTAAACGATTTCCGCAAGTTATGTATATTGAAAGGTATATACCCAAGGGAGCCACGCAACCGTAAAAGAGCACAGAAGGGTGAGCCTGGCATTAAAACTTTGTATCACAAGAAGGATATTCAGTTTTTGATGCACGAACCAATCATATGGAAATTAAGAGAGTACAAGGTATAACATAACTTGGAATTAAATGTTTATAGTAGTTTATAAGTGTAGCTTTATATTAGCATATGTTTTTCAGATATTTAACAGAAAAATTGGACGTGCGAAGGCAATGAGAGATTTTGCCCAAGTAAAGAGATATTTGAGTAACCATCCTACATTAAAGATAGATCATATAGTCAAGGAGCGCTATCCAACTTTCATAGATGCGTTACGCGACTTGGACGATTGTTTGACTCTCTGCTTTTTATTCAGCACATTTCCGTCATTGGCTCATATACCGAGAGATCAGTCGTTGTTGTGTAGGCGATTAACGATGGAATTCCTTCATGCCGTTATTGCTGCCAAAGCATTGCGTAAAGTGTTCATATCCATCAAAGGCTACTACTACCAGGCAGAGATAAAAGGGCAAACGATAACGTGGATAGTGCCGCATCACTTTTGTTTCGAGCCTCAAGCAAAGAACGAAGTTGATTTTAAGATCATGTCTACGTTTGTAGAATTTTACATTGTGATGCTTGGTTTTGTGAATTACAGACTGTATCATACTCTGAATTTGCATTATCCTCCCAAATTGACAAATCCTGGTGAGTAAGATTTATTAGTATTAACACAAATTACCGATATATTAACATTTCAAATATGTGAAACTTAATTTAATTATAAAATTAAATTTTCTGTTATACAGGAAATGTTGAACAAACACTGGTTGATGAAGAAGCATACGTCTCGGAGAGAATAAATGCATTAAATGTTCCATTAATCAATTTAGATTCTTCAGTACCAGCGGCTGAAGATGACGATATTGAAATAGATCAATTTTCAAATGTAAGTAAAAGTGCTAACTAATTTTATATTTGATACGTCAATTGTGTGGATAAAATCTGAATATATTATTGATTGTGCCTTTTAGGAGACAGACGCTGCCAAGGTCGAAGCTGCTAAGGCAGAAGCTGAAAAAATACGGAAACTGAGAAATTTATTTAAAGGCATAAAAGTTTTTATTAATAGAGAGGTTCCCAGGGAGCCATTAGTATTTATTTTACGTTGCTTTGGCGGAGAAGTGTCTTGGGATAAGTTACTCTTTGTCGGAGCCACTTTCGATGAGAATGATGAAACGATAACTCACCAGATTGTAGATAGACCAAGCATGAATAAACAATATATATCGAGGTGCTATATCTGTTTTAAATCTGGTTTATTATGTTTAGTGTTTTTATGCATACAACTTTTCTTAATTCTCAATATAATTTTCTTTCAGATATTACGTTCAGCCACAATGGGTGTTCGACAGTGTGAACGCCAGGGAATTATTGCCTGTAGATAAATACTTAATGGGTGCTATACTTCCACCTCATCTCTCACCATTTACAGAAGGTCGGCAAGATCAAACGTACATTCCTCCAGAGGAGCGTGCTCTCATGGACCCTGATTATAAATTAAACAATCGTAAGATTTTGATTTTGGATGAGTATATAGAAATTAAAGATGGAATTTTATCTAATTTAAATTTGACTTATATTTGTTTGTTTAGTGGAACCAGAGTCAGACGAAGAAGAGGAGGAGGATGTTGATGACAAGAACGAGAATGAAGAAGAGAAAATTGAAGCTGAGAACGATTTGAGTTCAGGAAGCGATGAGGAAATGGAAGACGAGGAAGAGGACAACGATAATGATGTAGAGATTACTGAGGATAAAGAGAAGGAGAAAATGAAGAAACAAGCTCAATTACAAGAGGTTTTGTTATTACAATTTTCTATAATTACTTTTTGAAATAATCTAGCGAAAATTGATTTTTGCTATCAATATTTATAAATTCGCAGAAAAAGAAGATGAAGGTACAGACTGGTGAGATCACGAAGGAAATTCCATGGGAGAAAGCCCGATTGGAGAAGCAGGAGTACCGTCTCAGAGAGAAGATGATTAAGAAGAAGCATCGCAAATTGTACAAGAGTATGATGAAAGGTAGAGAAGACAGAGCTAAACAAATCTGGCTCTTGCGAAAGAAGAGGCGTATCCACGATGCTAAGGAGAAAGAGAAGCGAAAAGAGCAAAGGAAAGCAAACAGGGATAAATTTATCAAATAAAATAACGATAGATTACTTAAATACAAAATAAAATAAATTCTTTATGTATCCCAATTCCTACTTGATAATAAATATAAGAAGGAAGAATAAAATAAGAAATGTTATAAAATGTATATTTCATCCATAATATGCTACGATTATCATGTAGCAGCTGCGAGATTACATTAAATTTTTTCATTCGAATCGTTTTTACGTATAATTCTTTTTTTTATATAAATCAGCTGTAATATATTCTGTAATCAGTGTAACATATTGAGTAATTGCAGGATGCAGAGACGCTCGTGTGAGATTAGCTTCTCCGCGAATCGACAGATACAGTTATGTATAATGGCAGATGCCTTTTTACCTAGTCCTCCCACCGGAAGCCCACGCGCTTGACGATCCTGGTCTTTTTCAGCGAAGGACCCTGAAGGCCAGTCCACCCACGCACACTGGCCCACGCAAAACTTTCTATATATGCACGGGTCAGATCGCGGCTGCCATTTACCCGCGGACCCGTGTACGCGCGACCATGGGAGCTGGGTGAAATTCGAAATCCATCAATAATGCAAACTTCTGACATTTAAATGATTTATTTCAGATTTTATTTCTCCGCGATGCGTCAGATCCGGGATTTTCGGATGCGCTGCAGGCCAAGCTCGACAAGAGGGTGCTCTCTCTCTCTCCTAAGAGCCATTTATTTTTTCGCAATTACATCGCGCGCAACAGTCTCCCGTTGCGCCAAGCCCTCTGTAAAAATTCCTTCGCGTCTCGCCGATCTCCCACGAACGCGGTAGAGGTCGTACGTTGATCTTGAAGGAACTGCGGAGTGGAAGGCTGCTGGCTGCTTGGTAATAGGGCACGTTTCTCTTAATTGGGTTGTCGATATCATACGCCGCCTGCGATCGTCCCCGTGACTTTCGCTAGGCGAACCTATGCGAACTACAACTATAGTATCGAAGGACAGAGTCATTTGATAGCGGATACATTATTGCCCAGTGCATCCGGCCGCACTCCGCAGTCCGCGTACACCAGCCGCGCATCACCTTGAATCGAGCCTCCGGTATGACGCCGCGAGTGGGATGCAACTGAAACGTGTTTCTGGAGCTGCGCATACCTCTACATAACGAATTCTCATTTTTTTATGTTTATTAATAACCGAGAGTATCATCCTGGGATATATTCGAAAGTCGATGTCCGCTGCGAATTTAAATTAATATTGATTAACAATTCGAGGATAATAATTGTATTTATGCTTTAACTTCGAGAATTGTAATTAATCGTGGGTAATTAACCGGGAAAAATTTCTAATCGACGAGACTTTTGCCATACGTTTTTCACTCTCGTTTCCTTTCTCGTTTCATTTCTCACGCACTGCCGACAGCGGCGTAAGTGCGACAGCACTTTTTTTTTGGCCGACTATATTTAGCGCCGCGAAAGTATAAGGATCGGATTCACCGTTGCTACGTGTCATTGCAATTTTCACCGCGCACGCAGTCAGTGCGCGACGCAAGCTTCTTTTCAAGTTCCGAATGCCAGGCACGTTCTCTTCGCGCGACCTGTCGCGCCTGCGAGCCGTCCCGATCGCTTCCAGAGTCTCGTATGGAATCTCCTCGATGAGCTCTAGCTCGTTCCCAACGTTCTTCGTTAAGCTTCAATCCGCAATATAATTCTTACGTATTCTGATACAGATCAGTCCGGATGAGTGGCACCTGATGCGATGTTTATTCATGAGTTTCTTTGGATCGCGTAGGGGGAATGCCGAAGAATGCGTATCCGATCCGAGCCGCGTCGTCTCTTCGAATCCTCGAGACATCGCGCTTTTTCACTTTAATGCAAAGATATGGGGAAAAAGATGAACGGTAGAACGATTAAATTACTTTATATAATTCCGACCGCAAATTCTTCACGCTCGCCCGTGAAGAATTCACATACGCGCGTATAGCGTGTTCTCGCAATGTGGTAAATTACGTCGGCGCGGCGGCAGCTCTGGGATGGGAAACGCCTCGGACGGGGGAAGAAAAACGTCGCGAGCCGGTCGCATCGATTTCTTCGGTTATTTGCAATGATGACCGAACCGATGTCGGTCCGATGTTCGCCGTCGCGACGGCGAGGGACCAACACGGGAGAACTCTGGAGAAGTGGAGAACGAGAGCGCGGGGCCCGCGTACGTATGCTTACGCGCGTGTGCATATGTGTGTGTATATGTGTGTGTGTGCGCGCGCTGCGTGGTACATTGGGCGCTTACGTCATTCTCGCTATTCCTGTTCCAGGTTCTCCCGGCCCATCTTCGTCCGGCATGTCCTGAAAAACCGTTGCCCTCGGAAACCTTGCGCGCGAGAATATCTTAGAAGAGATCCCTAATCGCGGCTTCTCTCGCCCTCTCCTCTTTCACGAGTCTTCCGAGTGACCTCGACGACGCTCCGTCGCGTCGCGTCGTCCGTTACGGATTCGTAAATCGTGGTCTCGGCGCCGCGACAATGTCAGGATACGCCCATATATCGTCCTTTTACGCGAAACCGAAGCTATAATAAATATCTCCTGCATGCTCCATTAGGCAGGACGGGTTAATTTAATTATCCAGCCACGATGAGTCACGGTTCAAATTTGCCTCAACCTGCTGTACTTCAATTTATACTTTAACACATTAGGTAAGTTAAATTATATTCTTCCAAAATTCTATTGTCTCTAATTCCTAATGATCATTCCACGTTCTTATTTTCTCAAGCGTATTATTGCGTGCCACAGAAATTACTTTATCGCGCTACATAAAAAGCTGAAAATTTATTTATATCCTCCAAGTTGTCTTTCAAGTCACTTTTATTTCTTATTTCGGTCACTTTTTAAAATAATTCGCTCTTGTTTCTTATTTCACAGAGAAAGAAGTTGTTATTGTACAGGCGTGTTTTTTAGAATGATAAACTATTTTCTTTTTCTTCTTTGCTTTCCTTCTAAAGGAAGAAGCTTACTCTTCGCGACATTTTATTTGCAGGATTCGATTGTGTTTTCTGCGGTAAGATATGTTTCTTGGGGAATTTATTACGGTCGTCAACGACCGTCTTTTGCGACTTTCGAGCTTTTTCTTCGTAATGAAAATACCGCGGCACTCGATTTGGCGCGAGATGTGGGGGACAGAGCGTGGGACGCGCACGGACATTCGACTACTGCCCACGTAGCCGACCGTAACATACCCGGCTTGCGAAATGTCGGGGGTCTCGAAAATTCCGCTCCGCGAAGCCGCCAATTTCGGAGAAAGTGTCATTC